CATCTACACCCACCCGAGAGACACACTCAAGCCAACTTCCTGTAGGCCCATCTTCTATACCAACAGCCAGTTCAAGGGAAACTGTACCCATCCAAGTGACACACTCAACCCAACTCCCTGTAGTCCTGGCTCTCAGATAGTCATTCAAGGACGTCTATACCCACCCAAGTGAGACACTCAACCCAACTTCCTGTAGGCCCATCTTCTATACCAACAGCTAGTTCAAGGCCGACTGTACCCATCCAAGTGACACATTCAACCCAACTTCCTGTAGTCTTGGCTCTCAGACAGTTATTCAAGGATGTCTATACCCACCCAAGTGGGATCTCAACCCAAATTCCTATAGGCTTGGCTTCAATACCAACAATTAATTTAAGGTCGTCTACACCCACCCAAGTGGGATCTCAACCCAAATTCCTGGAGTCCTGGTGTTTATACCAACAATCATTCAAGGATGCCTACACTCACCCAAGTGAAACACTCAACCCAACTTCCTGTCATCCCAGCTTCCATACCAACAGTCATTCAAGGATGTCTATACCCACCAAAGTGACACACTCAACCCAACTTCCTGTAGTCTTGGCTTCCATACCAACAATTAGTTCAAGGTCGTCTACACCCACCCAAGTGACACACTCAACCCAGCTTCGCTTTCCTACCAACAGTCAGTTCAATGACGTCTACCAACAGTCATTCAAGGATGTCTACATCCCAACCAACTTCCTGTAGTCTTGGCTTTCATACTAATAGTCACTCAAGGACATCTACACCCACCCGAGAGACACACTCAAGCCAACTTCCTGTAGGCCCATCTTCTATACCAACAGCCAGTTCAAGGGAAACTGTACCCATCCAAGTGACACACTCAACCCAACTCCCTGTAGTCCTGGCTCTCAGATAGTCATTCAAGGACGTCTATACCCACCCAAGTGAGACACTCAACCCAACTTCCTGTAGGCCCATCTTCTATACCAACAGCTAGTTCAAGGCCGACTGTACCCATCCAAGTGACACATTCAACCCAACTTCCTGTAGTCTTGGCTCTCAGACAGTTATTCAAGGATGTCTATACCCACCCAAGTGGGATCTCAACCCAAATTCCTATAGGCTTGGCTTCAATACCAACAATTAATTTAAGGTCGTCTACACCCACCCAAGTGGGATCTCAACCCAAATTCCTGGAGTCCTGGTGTTTATACCAACAATCATTCAAGGATGCCTACACTCACCCAAGTGAAACACTCAACCCAACTTCCTGTCATCCCGGCTTTCATACCAACAGTCATTCAAGGATGTTTATACCCACCAAAGTGACACACTCAACCCAACTTCCTGTAGTCTTGGCTTCCATACCAACAATTAGTTCAAGGTCGTCTACACCCACCCAAGTGACACACTCAAGCTAACTTCCTGGAGTCCTGGCTTTCACACCAACAGTCAGTTTAAGGATGTGTACACCCACCAAAGTGACACACTCAAGCCAACTTCCTGTAGTCCCAGCTTCCATGCCAACAGTCATTCAAGAATGTCTACACTCACCCAAGTGACACACTCAACCCAACTTCCTGTAGGTGTGGCTTCAATACCAACAATTAGTTCAAGGTCGTCTACACCCACCCAAGTGACACACTCAACCCAACTTCCTATAGTCTTGGCTCTCAGACAGTCATTCAAGGATGACTGTACCCACCCAAGTAAGACACTCAACTTCCTGTAGTCCCAGCTTCCATGCCAACAGTCATTCAAGAATGTCTACACCCACCCAAGTGACACACTCAACCCAACTTCCTGGAGTCCTCGCTTTAATGGCTACAGTCAGTTCAAGGACAACTGTACCCACCCAGGTAAGACACGCAGCTTCCTGTAGACCTGGCTTTCATACCCAGTAGTTCAACCTACACAACTTCCTGCTCTCCTGGCTTTCATATGAAAGTCAGTTCAATATTTTTTTTATTGATTTCAGAGAGGAAGGGAGAGGGAGAGATATTCACATCCATGATGAGAGAGAATCATGAATCAGCTGCCTCCTGCCCTTCCCCTACTGGACCGGGAATCGAACCCAGGACCCTTCAGTCTGCAGGCCGACGCTCTATCCACTGAGCCACACCGACCAGGACTGCCATGTCATTCTCTTGCATGACCTCAGGGGAAACCCAACAGCTCCTGTTAAGCAAACCAGGGCCACAGGCTGAAGAGCTTAGCTCAGAGCCTGGCTCAGATGCTTCCTAATCCAACTCAGACGCAGATAAGGGAGGCCAGATGGATTTCTGGACGGTGAGCTGCAAGGGAGGTCTGAGCTGGAGACCTGGGCAGGGGGGCTTTCTTCCCAGGAGCTCCGAGCGAGCATCCGTCCCCCGTCTCTCTCCTGGGTTCTTGCGGTTTCCTTGGCCATCCTTGGCTTTGGCCGCCTGGCCCGTAGGCACCTCAGGCCACCCCCGCCTCCCTCTCCACCTGGCCTTCTCCCTCCTTTCTCTCCCCACATCTGTGTCCAGATGGACCCCGAGGACAGGGACACCGGTCGGACGGGATTGTAGGGGGCGACTCTCTGGTCAAGCCTCGGGCTGACCTGTGGCAGGGCCACAGACAAGTCCCAGCCCAGAGCTCTCCTGGTATGATGAAGCCTGACCTTGTAGGCCTCCCTAATTCCTTCCTACGTAGGGAATGGGCTGTGGGAGGTGCAGCAAGCATTGCCAACACAAGATCATCTGTAGACATGTTCATCTTACCCCTGTTTTCATCGGACGATAAAATAAAGGCTCAGCGTGCAGGCTGGGTCTTGGGTGTCCTCATCCAGGCACGGGAGATCCACCAGGCCCCAGCTGTATTCTCTTTATCGGTCTTTTCTTGCATCCCTCACGGCCCCTCCTCAGGCTCACCCTTGGCCGTGCTGGCGCAGGACATAGGGTTCAGGTTGCAACCGTGGCCCTGGGAGCTGATCCTGACCAGGCCACAGGTGCAAGAGAATGTTGTTTCAAAACGAGGTCAGATTGTGGCACGCGGTTCCGGGACAGGGGTTGGCACAAAGTTGAGGTCTCCTGGCTCCTTTTCAAATAGATTTCAAAGAGTTAAACTGTTTTAAATATCTTCTTCTTAATAGTTTTGTTGTCGTTAATCGCTGCCTGACGATATTTCTTCTGTTGATTTTCACATATAGTGGAAGGGAGAGAGAGAGAAAGAGAGAGGGGGGGGGGATGACAGAATCATACATCGGCTGCCTCCTGCACGCCCCCTACTGGGGATCAAGCCTGCAACCCAGGCATGTGCCCTTGACCCAGAATCGAACCCAGGACCCTTCAGTTCACAGACCGACGCTCTATCCACTGAGCCACCCGAGCTAGGAATACTTTTTAAAATTTAAATATATATTTTTCTTCATTTCAGAGAGGAAGGAAGAAGGAGAGAGAGAAAGAAATATCAATGAAGAGAGAGGATCATGGACCGGCTGCCTCCTGCACACCCCCTACTGGGGATGGAGCCCGCCACCCGGGCATGTGCCCTTGACCCAGAATCGAACCCAGGACCCTTCAGCCCACAGGCCGACGCTCTATCCACTGAGCCACACCAGCTAGGGCTCAAGGACACTTTCCATTCACCATCATTTTTTTTTAATTAGTTACAGGTGTCTGTGAAAAAAAAAATAGGTTCCCAGTTTCTTTCTTTCTTTTTAACAAAAACACAGATGAGATATCTCAACTTGCTGGTGACCAGATTTCCTGGGAAGTCTTTTAATACACCAGCCCGACAACATGGTGTCTGCAGCCACCGGTATGAACGCTAGGACATCATGGCCCAGGCCTTCGCCTTCTCGTTCCGGAGAAATCATGCCGTGCTTTGCCATCCACAGATCGGAGAAGCAATGATGCCTTTTAAACTCCCGCCCTGGCCTTATCGTCCGGATCAGTTCAGGCTCTTACTTCAATGCCGGGCAACTCATTTTTCCTTTTACCAAAATGGGGGCGGTGAGACCTGCCTCCCCGACTTTTGTAGAGCGTTAAAAACAAACAAACAACAACAACAACAACAAAACAGCACTGGCTGGTTTGGCTCAGTGATTCAGCATCAACCTATGAACCAGGAGGTCCAGTGCACAAAATTCGTGCAAGGAGTGGGGGGGGGGTTCCCTCAGCCCGGACTGCACCCTCTTGCAATCGGGGACCCCTCAGGGGATCGGGCCTAAAATGGCAGTCGGACATCCATCTCGCAATCCAGGACCGCTGGCTCCTAACCACTCGCCTGCCTGCCTGATCGCCCCTAACCACTCGCCTGCCTGCCTGATC